CATATGACTGCTCAGCGCTGGTTGACTTCCGTGACCCATGTGACATGATCACAATCGCTTTACTTAGTGACCTGTCACAAAAAAAAAAAAAAATAAACCCTAAAAAAAAAATGAACAGACAGCAAAATAAGTGCTGCTGTGCAAGAGCCTGTGATCTGCAGAGTGATCACAGGCAGGACAGGGGTTAATCGTTCTGAAAAGAGCTTTTGGGTCTCAAAAAAAAAAAAATTCACAAAAAATGAACCCCTAAAAAAGAAAAAAAATATGCACAAACAGCAGACAATTACTGCTGTGCAAAAGCCGGTGATTATAGTGATCACTGGCAAGACAGGGGTTAATGGCTCTGAAAAGAGCCTTTGGGTCTCAAGAGTTTACAAATCCCTACCTATAAACACCTAAATCTCTCTAGCTAAACCACAGATCTCTCTCCTTCTCTCACTAAAGCACAAGTGAGGAGAGGGAGGCAGATCCACACTAATCAGAGAAATGGGGAACACACTTGGGATGAAATTGCTAATGGGGCAAGCTGTGATTGGATGACCCCAGCCTGCCCCTTATGATGCGGCATGCTAGGGACACCCCCAGAAGCCCCATGATTCACTGCCTTTAGAAAGGGATGGGGGTTAATTTTGATCATTTTATTTCTTTTCTATTTAATTTTTTAATATATAGTATTATATATGCACTGAGTGCCAGGACCCCTCGAGGCACTCCGCACATGCAGAGCATCACTGCAATACTATCAGAGCTTCCAGAGCTCAAAATAGCTGCAGACGTACCAGGTACGTTCAAGGTCATTATGGAATGTTTTCTGCCAGACGTACCAGATACGTCCATGGTCATGAAGGGGTTAAGGTCACATTACTGGGAATATTTTTACTGTGGAACTGTGTTATGTACAACAACATATGTATTTATACTAAGTTATAGAAAATGGACAAATCAAATCAGCTAGCTCCAAGATGGTCTTCCCACAAGACAATTAAGGAACAAAATATTGTAACGTGTTATTTTTTAACTAAAAATTTGTTAATACAAGATATTATTCCTTATTATTTTTGACATTTATATAGTGCCAACTTATTCCACAGCGCTTTATAATATTATAAAGGGGGGAATTGAAAAATAAATGAGACAATTACAAAATATTACAGGAACAATAGCTTACAATCTAGAGGTGGGTATATTTAAAAAAAAAGTCAACATTATGTAATGGTCCCTTCAATTTCAAATAGACTTGAATTTAGACAATAGATTAAAAGTTCTTAAATATTTCCACACAAACCTCTTTATCTATTTTCCATCACTCAGAGGTCCGCTACACATTACCTGACTCCTTTACACTTACCATATTCATGAGTAATGCAAAACATAGTTCATAATCAGTGATAATTATTTAAAAAGCTGTTCATCTGAGAAACGTTAAATGTCTGACAGGCAAATGGACCGTGTTTGAGGATCCTGATACGTAATAAAGGAGTATGATATACCAATTGTACAGTAGAGTATAATCTGCTGGTCCTTAATGACATTAACACAAAGACATTTCGGACAAGTTTGAGTTCCAGTGCATTCTTTTAGAACAATCTAAAATTACAGTATCTAATGGCCTTCAACTTCTCCAAAAACAAGATACTGTACATGACAGAACATATATTAGTTTCTCAGCTGTTTGCTATATTATGTGAATTACAATCATCTTCATGTTATTTGTATTAAAGTGGCTCTGTCACCTCAATCTTACCTTTCTCCTATTGTTTCTTCTTTCTCTTTTCCAATCAGCTCTTCTTTTCTTTATTTATGCTCTATTTCCCTTTAAAACATAAGTCAAAGTAAGGACTGCTTTGTCTTAGGTATTTTTCCTACGCTTGACAATTGTTACAAAAGGTTGGAGCTTAAGGCAAGCTACACTTCCTTTGCCAAGCGAACTTTCCCACAATCTCCTTTCCATTTTTTTCAAGCACTGTGGCCTCAACTGTCTCCAAAGTGCTCCCCCATTGCATACTCTGGGCAAGAAACGGCAGGGACCTTATGTCCCTGCCAGCAATTAGAAGATGGTAGCACCTGAGATGATTATCCAGTGCTACGAAAATGGCAAAATGTAAGGTACATAGAGGTGATTAAGGAGAAAATAAATAATCATTGGGGACATTGAGGAGATAAGGAATTGGGGAAGGGAGACATAAAAAATAGAGTACAAAGCTGCTTTACGTGAACTGTAGGAGACATTCTGGAACTCCTGGTATCACACAAGTTGTATTTTTATTGTCTCCTTTCCTGATCGTTCACCTGGCTAACATTAATTTAAAAAAAAAAAATCTATAACTCTATGGATTTAGGCCTTACAGAAACAAAAACTGCAGTTGGCAATGGAAAAAAATACAACTGAACAATGAAAACACAGGTTAACAATTAGAATTTACATGTATGAGGAATCATAAGCATTCGGGTGCAGTGCTCTGTAATCTAGAAAGTTACAAAATATCACATACACCTTCAACCTGTCCTTAGTCTGACCAAACCTCCTGTACACTTCTAAAGGGAGACCCACAGTGCAAACACCACTTTAATGTAGTTGACAACTTTTCGACAAATTAGTATGTTGCATTTTATTTCATGCTTATAGCTAAATAGTTTTAAAAATGCTTTGCAGCATTCTGCACATTACGCATGCCTCTTTTAGCACAACTTGTCTATGTTATCCCTTCTTATTTACCAGGGTACGTACAGCTCGTTTACTGACAGCACTGACTGAGCTGAACTTCCTCAGAAGAAACTGACACACAGGCAGACACATAGTAAGTATGTCATCATTGTATGTATGTCATCATACTTAGTACATCAACGTGTACAAGTTTGTAAATTGCTTTCATCTTTCTTTTTGAATTTGACAATACAGTAGGGTGAGGGAAAATACATCAGTGAGAAAGGAGACACAGTAAGCTGGACATTTGTAGTAAATCTGAGCTGGTTCAAACTTGCCCAGCACAAAGACTTACTTATTTCAGTGTTTGTTTCCAATGTATGAACCCATGCTACACTCTTCATATCTACCAAATGGCGGCTGTTGAAGTATTAAGAAAAAAACAAAAAAACAAGAATTTGACACAGCTCCTTAACTTTTTAGCCACCATCTTCTGACCTGTGGCCTCTGTCAACTTAACCCTTATAAACTCAGCCACTAATGGTAGTAAGTCCCTATACAATACAAATAGTTCCATATAACAGAGAGTCACCCACAAAATATTCAGAGCAGGGTATAATAAGGAGATATCCATACAATACTCACAGTACGATGTCTCTGTATAATGTGACAGCTATTTCTGTCTAACTCTAGCTATCTAGCCCTCTCTAAGACTCTAGCCCTTTTCGGATTGTATCTTCAGTAGTGCTCCTGCTATGACAACTTTGGCTTTCTACTAAATGTTGCTGCTGCTATAAAACATGTCAGCTATTCCTGACTCACTATTAGATCTGAACACACAGTGTACAAAGGGTTACATCAGCAGGATACAGTTAAACTCCTTATTACCTTTGCAGCTGGCTATCTATGATCAATCTGCAGTGGTAATAGGGAGCCACAGCTCCTTAACTTTTTAGCCACCATCTTCTGACCTGTGGCCTCTGTCAACTTAACCCTTATAAACTCAGCCACTAATGGTAGTAAGTCCCTATACAATACAAATAGTTCCATATAACAGAGAGTCACCCACAAAATATTCAGAGCAGGGTATAATAAGGAGATATCCATACAATACTCACAGTACGATGTCTCTGTATAATGTGACAGCTATTTCTGTCTAACTCTAGCTATCTAGCCCTCTCTAAGACTCTAGCCCTTTTCGGATTGTATCTTCAGTAGTGCTCCTGCTATGACAACTTTGGCTTTCTACTAAATGTTGCTGCTGCTATAAAACATGTCAGCTATTCCTGACTCACTATTAGATCTGAACACACAGTGTACAAAGGGTTACATCAGCAGGATACAGTTAAACTCCTTATTACCTTTGCAGCTGGCTATCTATGATCAATCTGCAGTGGTAATAGGGAGCCAAGAAGCAGCATTGAAACTATCAGAATCAGCTCAGTCCTCAGAGTAACAGCCCCAGTTCTGCAGTGTGAAACTTCACAATTTTTTTCTTAGCTACAGTATGAGTGTGTCAGGTGTCAGTTACAGAGTGACTAAGCACTTTAAAAAATATGGTGGACACTGGGCTTAGCCTACTCTATATAATATGCAATAAGAGTTATTAAAACTATTAGTGACAGACAGAACGCAGCTGTCTTTTATAAAATGTCAGTCATTTTCATTCCCTTCCCTTGTCCGCCATGGGCTTCCCTTGCTAATATATACATTTGTGTGTGTATATATATATATATATATATACTAAGAGGGCTGCACTCACCTGAACATGCATACATTATAGGGTGCTGCTGGGGCCAAAATATACAAAGTACAGAATCCAGCGCACTCGCTTATTCACTAAACAATGATTTAAAATCTTAGAGATTGTAGTAGTTTTATACACCTCACCTAGGCAAAAAATAAAAGGGGTTTAGTTACATTATATGATAATATATTGCATAAGCCTGCCACAACGTCAATGTACCACATTCTTGGCAGGTCCTACTCTAGCAGCCTAGTGCTTGCTCTTACTTGTGAAATACTTCCTTACTGGGACTCTCTGCAAGTCAAGGATAAATAGGGTCCTGAAATGAGGCACCTGTGACAGGGAGAGGTGCAAAATCAAGGAGTTGCCCTGGACTCCCAAATATATAAAAGAAACCAAGAGGGCTGCACTCACCTGAACATGCATACATTATAGGGTGCTGCTGAAGCCAAAATATACAAAATACACAATCAAGCACACTCGCTTATGCACTAAACAATGATTTCAAATCTTAGAGATTGTAATAGTTTTATACACCTCACCTAGGCAAAAAATAAAACGGGTTTAGTTACATTATATGATAATATATTGCATAAGCCTATATATATAGGCAAAAGTGTTGCGTTTAAAATTTTGTTCAGTGTATGTGTATATATATATATATATACACATACACTGAACAAAATTTTAAACGCAACACTTTTGTTTTTGACCCCAATTTTTCATAAGCTGAACTCAAAGATCTAAGACTTTCTATGTACACAAAAGGCCTATTTCTCTCAAATATTGTTCACAAATCTGTCTAAATCTGTGTTAGTGAGCACTTCTCCTTTACCGAGATAATCCATCCACCTCACAGGTGTGGCATATCAAGATGCTGATTAGACAGCATAATTATTGCAAAAGTGTGCCTTAGGCTGGCCACAATAAAAGGCCACTCTAAAATGTGCAGTTTTATCACACAGCACAATGCAACAGATGTCGCATGTTTTGAAAGAGTGTGCAATTGGCATGCTGACTGCAGGAATGTCCACCGGTTGCCTGTGAATTGAATGTTCATTTCTCTACCATAAACCGTCTCCAAAGGCGTTTCAGAGAATTTGGCAGTACATCCAACCGGCCTCACAGACCACGTGTAACCACACCAGCCCAGGACCTCCACATCCTGCATTTTCACCTCCAAGATTGTCTCAGACCAGCCACCCAGACAGTTGCTGAAACAATCGGTTTGCATAACCAAAGAATTTCTGTGCAAACTGTCAGAAATCGTCTCAGGGAAGCTCATCTGCATGCTCGTCGTCCTCATCGGATTCTCAACATGACTGCAGTTTGTTGTCGTAAATGACTTGAGTGGGCAAATGCTCACATTCAATGGTGTCTGGCACTTTGGAGAGGTGTTCTCTTCATGGATGAATCCCAGTTTCACTGCACAGGGCAGATGGCAGACAGTGTGTATAGCATCGTGTGGGTGAGCAGTTTTCTGATGTCAATGTTGTGGTGTGAGTGGCCCATGATGGTAGTGGGGTTATGGTATGGGCAGGCGTATGTTATGGACAATAAACACAGGTGTATTTTGAATGCACAGAGATACTGTGATGAGATCCTGAGGTAGGGGGTTGTGCCATTCATCCACAACCATCACCTAATGTGGCAGCATGATAATGCACGGCCCCATGTTGCAAGGATCTGTACACAATTCCTGGAAGCTGAAAACACCCCAGTTCTTGCATGGCCAGCATACTCACCGGACATGTCATGGATGCTCTGGATCGCCGTCTATGACAGTGTGTTCCAGGTCCTGCTAATATCCAGCAACTTCGCACAGCCATTGAAGAGGAGTGGACCAACATTCCACAATCCACAATCAACAACCTGATCAACTTTATGCGAATAATCATGCTGTCTAATCAGCATCTTGATATGCCACACCTGTGAGGTGGTATTTGAGAGAAATAGGCCTTTTGTGTACATAGAAAAAGTCTTAGATCTGTGAGTTGAGCTCATGGAAAATTGGGGGAAAAACAAATTTGTTTTGTTTTATAATTTTGTTAAGTATACATATATATATACTGTACATTGATTAAGCCTGTCACAACCTAAAGTACCCAATTATATATATATAATATATTTTAACAAATTATTTTGTTTAATCATTTACTGATGTAATGATGGGCAGGAGCCAGGAGTTGCTACTCTGTTCTCTATGTGCTACTTCCAAGATGGTTTCTTTCTTCTTTGCTGTAACCCCACCCCCTTATGCTATGAGCCAATTATTGTCCCTGAATAGAGAGTCCAATAGCTGCCCAAATGACAGCTCAATGGGAGGATCCCTGGAATTCCTTCTTAAATGAGACTAGTCATGTGCAAAACCTGTGAAAACAGGGCAGATTCAACATGCCTTGTTGCTCTCAAAATATCTTCTCCAACCAGCCACTAATCAGGGGGAGCAGACATACAGTACTAAAACCTGTGTGGAGTATGTTAATCTACTTTTCCAAATATTTTTTATTGCTTTACCTCCATTCCCTTTTAGTGGTCCTAAACAACAGCAAATATTTTTTTTCCCACATAAAAACGGGCAGGGGGCTGCCTGAAGTGCCCCAATGGATCAGCCTCCACTGCATCTATCAATTCCATATGGCATATTTTCAAGACCTAAATCAAGCTTGAATTATTTTTCCATACAAGACAAGATATAACGTATCAAATCGATTCATATGCATACTTGTTTGCGTATGTATATATGTAAAATGAGATTGACAAAAACATTAGAAATGTATAAAGATGTATGTTACACTTCTGCAATTAGAAGTAGCCAATAAATAAATGTTGATGCCTTTTACAGATTTGGACCACCTTGGGGGATTCTTAAGTATGGATTTCAGAAGGCCTAGTGCTTTGCCATTTTGTAAAGAAATGCAATACGTTTCATTTGGAGATCTACCACTTTCTGTATTTCCAAAATAAACAGACCATGAAACTGCTGAATTTGTGACTTCAGTAAGGAACTTCCTTGAGCCAAAAAATACAACACCTTCCATGGGACACACAAGCTGCCTTCTTGTTGCTCACACTGGCTTAACCCAGTGCCAGGATTTTAGCACAAACTATCCGTGTAAGTCAGAAACTACTACTGTCAGACAGGAGATTAGTTATTTCTCTTGTATGGTGTCCCACTGTCAGATTGTGCCCAGTACGCTTTTTTGTTGACTTAGTACAATTTAGCTATTGACTTATTTAGATTTATGTTTTATCTATTTTAACTGCTTGCTTTATAAACTAAACTTGTGAAGATGAACTACGGTTTTTGTAAGCTGGAAATCTTTCCGTAAAATTTAAATCAACAATCTGCCTTTCGTGACGCACCCTTTGGAAAAAGCAAACATCTAGGGATATTCGGAATAAGCTGACCTTGAAAATATCAAGGTCTAGATAATTTATAGAAAAGATTTTACAGAAAACATTGACAGTTATCAAGCTAGTTCTCATATAAACTCTAACATTCTAGACCTGATGGAGGATGCATGAGTTAAAAGAGGTTTAAATTCTAATTGTTCATTAATAAAAAACAGTAATTGGAAGGCTTTTTAAATTACTTTTTAGTGTAAAAAGAAGATTTCAGTGGGAGGATATTTTCAGCCGCTGACCACTAACCATATTTTACTTGCAGGATTAGAACCATTTGCAAATGAGTACATTAGCAGTTTTATACCCACTAGTGCTTAAACGTATTTGTGATCCTTGTGACCCTAAGAAAGATCACCTCTTAAAACAGATTGTGTTGCTGTCCCAGGGCTGCTTAATACCATGGAGAGGCTTAGCTCAGGAGAGCTCACAAACGTTCCTGTTGAGAAACATCAAGTGGAGGCAAGGAGAAGTTCCTGTCTGGCAGACCGCATTCAAAAATAGATTAACTCCTTATGATGGAGGCGCCACTCCGGGCACCGGAACTATTACAGTGTTCTGTAGTGGTTATGGTGCAAGGAATGATCCTTTAGCTGCTACTCACTAAATCAGCAGATTAGAGGTTTTCAGTCTCTTACCAAGTTCCCAATAAAGTCATATTGATATTTTTATTTAAAAGAGCCTTGGAAAAAAAACTAAATAAACTGCTCATTCTGAATAGATCCTGTTGTTAACGTCAACTTGCCATCTTCCACTACTACGACATAAGAACTATATATGTTATATAGTTTAAATTCTTTATTGTTGCACATTTCATGTCCATGGATTATTTAGTTAGAAAAACAAATACGTTGGAAGATGTTATTAGCAACAGGTGATAGGATTATTTATGGGGGATTAGGTATTACTAGCCTCCAGGGATGTATTTTAAGGCTACTACAGGGAGAAAAAAAAACAATTGACAATAATATTGAGTTGTGTCGTTCAGCACTACTTTACTGCTGTTTAGAAACATCTAATGACCACAGATATTACACCCACAGAAACAGCTAGGAAAGATAAAGGATAACACTCCACTCACAGTGCTGTGTTGACATCTAAAAACAAGAATAGTAATTTCAAAACCCCAAAATAATTCCTACCTATACCGAGTGTGTATTCATTTGTGCAGCACTTCTCCCACCAGCTAAAAACATGTCTTCTAAACTCCCACTAAGAATGTACACACATCCACTAAAATTAAACATAAACATACACTAAAATTAAACATATTGTATGTGAGTAAATCTCTGTGTGTGTCTTTGCACATCTTTGTGTTCATATGTGAAAACACCACTGCATTCATACACCAACACTGCATAAAAAAAACCTTTTAAAAATCTACCTTTTGCCCACTCTTGCACCTGGATCCACTGTTCATTAGTTACATCACTAAATAGAAATACCAACAGAAATGTGATAGGACTGGCATTTTATAACCTTTTCTCTCCCTCAGTGACTGTAATGAATTGAATGGCTTGAATGAAAGAGCTGCAGACCCAAAAACAGTTAAGATCCTGAAATGTCTTCCGTAAACTGTAGAGACAGGAGAATCTGGCTGTTGAGAGAGGTGTACTGCGGAAAAATGTGGTTGTGGAATGGCATGTATTGGGGAAGACTGTGGCTGCTGGGAGACGTGTGCTGGGAAAAATGTGTTTGTGGGAAGGGATGTATTGTGGAAATGGTAGTTGTGGGGCAGGAAGTACCAGGGAAAGAATGTGGTTGTGGGGCAGGGTGTACTGGGGGAATAATGTTGCTGTGGGAGAAACGTACTGGAGAAATATTGTGGCTGTGGCGGGTAAGGATTCACCAGGTGAAAAATGTATAAACCTGTTGTTATGTAAAAAAATGGCATATACTCAAAACTGACTGTTATGGTGCAAAAGAAGGAAAAGATTAAAAAACATACAGATTTTAACATTGCACCAGATATTCACTTAAATAGACATAAAAATGTCATCTGAAAAGTGTCTCTGAAACGTTTTTTCAAATGTTGCCAAGTATACTAGGAGTAGAGAGAACCATGTTGTCCCTTTGTCAAAAAGGGAATCAAGGGGGGGGGGGAGGGGTAGGATGCCAAGAACCTAATAGTTAACAAGGGTTAACTGGTTGTCTTTCCTTCACCTGTGTATGTGTTTTGGGGTAAAATCAATTATGTATTTACTGTGAGGCTAACAAGGCATTCCCCATAGGTTTCAATGTGGGGGGGGGTAGGAATTTTTAATATTTTTATTTACAAAGAGGAAGCTCGTAGCGCTGCCTGCTCCCT